TCGTGTGTACTAGAGTGCCAGCTACTGTCAACTGTTCGACAGTTTTACTAGTTTTTAACTCAACACGTAGCAAAACTTGTAAGGTACAAAGTAACTTACCGGAAAATCTTCTGCTTTTGGAACTAAAACGTGACTACAATTTTTTATATCTTTGAAGGTCTTTGGAGGACTTCAGCAGGAATTTACCCGATATATTCCAGTTTGTCGATAAATTTCAATGATTTGATACATATCGATAATTTGATGAAATTTAAAACACTAAAACCCTATAGCTCAACAAAACTCGATAACTCGACTAATTTCGATAACTTTGAAATTCGATAACTCAAAAATGTATATATCTTTGGATACCTTTATAGATTTTTAATTTTGACAGCTCCACATGTTTCGAAAGCTATCGAAAAATTTCGATAACTCCTTACACTCTGTTAACACAAAAAAATTCTATAAGCAGGGATAACTCGATAAACTTATATAACCTTGAAATTTCGATAAATCGATATATTTTGAAATTTCCATAAAATTTCAATTCGACGAATTGATCAATTTCAGTAGATCAATAGTTATCGATAACTCTGTAAGTTGAAAGTATTCGAAGCATTACGATAACTCGATAAATTTCGTTGTCTATAAATAATGATAATTCAATAAATATCGATAACTTGATAGATTTCTTTAAATTGACAAATTTCGATAATCCCATAAATTTTTATAGTTCGATAACTATCCGTAAATTTCGACAACTAAGTTGCTGTGTCTATATATGTATTTCGACAACTCAATAAACATTGATCAATTTGACTAATTCGATACTTTGTGATAACCTAATAAGCATAGATAAATTTCGATACCTATAAGTTTCGACGAATAGATGAATTTCGGTAGCTTTTATAGCTGAATTTATTTCGATTCCTATCCGAAAGTTTTAATTCAGTTACCCTAATTTTTATGTATTTCTCATTGTCTCCATTCTTGCCTTTAGCTTAATTTTTGCCTAATTTTTTTGTCTCTTTTGGTGTTCTTGGTTCGGTAGAACTCCAAACGAACGGAGACAAAATGTATGTTAGAGTATTAATATATAGATACGTTTATATATGTATGTAATTTTACTCGCGGTGCTTCCAACGGGCGAGTGACCAAAGCACTTGAGTGACTTTCGAGAGAACCGAGACTCGAAACCTTGGTAAGTGGATTTTTTCATTTTTTATATAACTTAATTTCTTTGTTTTTATTTTATTTTCTTTCAAGTTTAAGATTTTATTGTTTTAAAAAGAAAAATATTTTTTTTTCTAATTCAATTTAATTCTTATCCTGATTAAATTGTTGTTTAACAAACGTAGCCTCCATATTTTTCTTTCTGGCACTCGCTCAGAGCCAGCTGAGGTGTCTTACCAAATACAGTTTTAAAATCGTTGTTCACCACTGTGAGTGGGTAGATAAATGCTAGTAGCAGGGTTCGGAAATATTCATATATGAATCTTCGCGAACATACATATGTTGATAAATAACCCATACGCCATGGCATGCAGCAACTTAGGCAGGCAGGCCTTTTTTTTATGGGGACCAACGCCGTCTAATGTAAATATATGCATATGTATTACATACCTAGGGACATGTAATGCCCTTGAAAATATAAAATTTACTCCAACAAACCAAGAGGTATGCACGTATGTATGAGGTGTAAGGAGCGTTTTGTTTTCAATTTCAAATGTCTTGCAATAAAATTCTGGACAAGACAAATAAATATCTAAAAGGCGGCTGTGGTCAGCTTGACATATCACATATCTGTCACGCACGTGAATACAAATGTTGTTTGTCGGGAACAAGGTATTCATAGGTGTTCGTAAACTCGCTTATTGCAAATCCGCTTCGACTGTGTCCTTTTTTGACCACACGAAGGGGACCTTGACCAATTTTTTAAGTTTTTTTTTAATTTTTTTGTTGCCCATACCAATTCATTATGCGCCAAAAAGGACACTCAAAGTGCTAGATATTTAAAGACATATGTATCGTACATACATATCACACATATTACCTATGAAAGTAAAAATTCACTTGCGTGAAAATTTTCTATGGCATGCTCTTTTTCCAAAAAAAAAACACTCGCATATTCGTGGGAGTTTACATACTATAGTGGACACACAATTTTGGACAGGATAGAATAAAAACAAAAGCAACATCAGTGAAAACAATGGACATATGTACGTTGAATAATGACCAAAGTTAGAGCAAAACACCAGCTAGCCAGCGTTCAGCGAAGCGCATAACCAAAGCAGCCAAGCAGCCCGTTACACTGCAATTCAGTCGAACTGACCACCAAGTGTGCTAGTTGTAAGCTTGTTCATGAGAAAAGAAAAACAAACAACCTTGTTTCTGCTAGTGCCGGTAGTGGTTGGTGGGTTGGTTGGTTGGTTAGTTGGCTAGTAGTGGGAGAGGCGGTTGAGCGGTTAAAGCGTGTGTGCATTTACTGCTGTTCCATTTGAGGCTGTAGTATAGCTTGACATTATGAACGTAGCTAATAATGTCTGCGTATCCATGATATATGTATTTAGGTTAGTTTTGCCAACCAATATGGACTTGACTTAGATTGAGTTCAGCTGAATGCATGATAATTACCCAAGCTTGAAACTTAATGATGGGGGATGAAGCCATTCGATACACCTTTACCACAAATGCATTTTTTGCATTGCAGAAGTTATTTTTTGTTTCCAAATCAATCAGGCAACCAGCACCAACCATTACTATCCATCTTTCTCTAGGAAGTTGTTACCTACGTTACTTCTGATGCGGTGGCAAGCAACTGTGGGAATAAAGATATAAATAAGTATATAGCAATTGACAAAATGTCAACCAACGCTTCGTCCATGCAGTGCGGTTTAAGTTAAGCCGCTTTGGAATGTCAATGCGACAGTCAGTTAGCTACAAAAATATACTTTTTAATGTAGCTAAGTATGGACGTATGTACTACGTATTTTCCGAAGTATTTAATACTACTTCAGCAATTGCTGCTTACACATTTTAACAGCTGTTTTTCCACAATATTTTGGTGAAAACTTTTTGCCATAACTAGAATGTAGCACTGTTTCTATAGAGATGTTTAAATTCATTTCCCTTGCTTTTGTCGCGTCTGTGGAGAATATGTGAATTGATTTTGCTATGTATATATTAAAGCATTCAATCCCGAAGCATTTTAACAATCACGGGATTTCGGGAGGCAACAAATTCTAATCCCGAGATCCCGGTATTTTTTTTGGAATTTCGACTTCATCACAACTTTTGCAATTAACAGTAGGTTCGCCTTTTTTAAACCACATAGACTCATTGTCATCGTTTTTGGTCTTACAGGGACCTTAGTAAAAGAGTCCTTAATTTAATGTCTAAATATTTTTATAGTATTCTTAAATATCTATATTATATTGTAAAAACCGCTTACTAATTTCTTCAGAAATTCAATTTCCACAAAACGCCAACAAAATAAAATGAGGAACAACCCTTTCACACTGTCAAATCTTGTTGTGTTTTCAATTGCTACAAAATGTTTGAACAAGTACAGTTATTCAGACAGATTCTGAAATTCACGCCCGACTGCAAATGGCTCAAATTCGCTTTGAATAAAAATTTTGGTGATCTGTATATCTCTTTTTCATCATTAATTTTTTCGCTTTCGACATCTCTTTTATTCCGTAAATGACTCAAATAAAAATCTCGGGATCCCGGAGTTGTTATATCCGGATTTCGGGACATGGTAAAGTGTCCGGGATTGAATACCCTAGTATATACATATGTGTGCCACGCAACTTGTTCCTCAAGCTCCTTTGTGCTGCTTGGTTGTGCGCTTTCAAGACATAAGCATGTGTGTGTGTGTGTGTGTTCGTGCAGAATTTTTATTTATTGGTTCAATAAATGTCAACGCGTCTTTGGCATTTACTTTATACAATTTCGTACACTGCATTCACTTCTGAAAAATCCAGATTTCTTTAGTCCAGTCCACTTTTTGATTGAATCTTATTGACATTTGAAGCTGTTAGTTTTTAAACGATGTAACGTTATTCGTGGGAGAGGGAGGAGGTCGAGTTAAAATGATGCCCTGCAACTTGTAACACTACCAATTTTCGGGTTCTCGGAATTTTCTGATAAATGATTTAAAATAAAGATTTCGGTTTGAAATATGCAATTTTTTTGTAATTTTTGAGGTGACTTTTGCGCAAAAATACTAACATGAGATTAATTTTTCTTTGCGAGAATGCTAATTTCACCCATTTTGAAATGGACCACCGAATGCCTGTAGAAGGGGGCAGGGAGGAGAAGGGTGGCATTTCTTAAATTTTATACCACGGCCATTTTAATGAGTGTAGTTTTAGGTGACACACCCCTTCTCCCTTCGCTCTCCAACAAAACATCATTGTACAAATAACCGAACATTTCCCACGCTTAAAATTAAATCCTCTGATGTATTGTTTGATTGCTATAAATGTGGCAAGGTAGCTCACAATTTTGTACAATTAATGAAACTTAAAAAAATTATTTTTTTGTCAAAAATTTTGAAATGAAACCATGATTCGTGATTATTATTATTATTATTATTATTATTATTATTATTATTATTATTATTATTAATCATGAAATGAAACTAGCTTCTTTTTTTATCATGGTTTTATGCACTGTGGGTTTTATAGTTGATACTGTGGATATTTTTTCTGTACTGCCGAAGGATTAATGCCAACGCTTTCTAGATCGATTCAAAAAGCAAATGGTGGTATTTTTTTAAACAGCCCACTATTTCTCATTCTCTAAAATTATATACACTTTTGTTTCTATAAAAGAATTATTTTTGCAAAATCGTTTAAAGCCGTTGAAGTCGCCAGCAGCAAGCTCAGCCTAGCATCACAAAAAATTTTTAATTAAACCTCAAATAAAAACATCCAAACTGCTTTTAATAAAAACAATGTCTTTTGTTCCTTTATTGCATTCCAATAAAAAGCTTCAGCCAAATTTCCAAACTACTTTTTCTTCTTCTGTTTGCCATCATCGTCGTCATCTTCACCACTCTTTAACGAACAAGGCGGACATGAGTGAAGGTAGCCGCCTTCTGCCATACGCATGAAGGACTTCTCCGCATCATAGTTGCTTAAATTACCAAAATATAGAATAGGGAACTGTTATTTACCAAATATTTAAATGCAAAACTTTCGAAAACACTGGCTCTGCTAACCTATAAAAATTGCGATACTTCTTTTTTTTCGGCTTGTTGTGCAGCAAATTGAATGTGAACGCGACAAATAAGGCAGATGCGACTGCAACAGTTACATTCCGTAGTGCCATTTGACGATGGTTGTGAAAAAGCTGCGGTGGCAGCTTACATGGAGGCTTCATTTTTTGCTTGTTCAAAGTGGACGACATCACTTGCTGTGCGTTTCAGGAAACTGCAAGCTGAAGATGCAAATGTGAACTGTGAAATCTGAAAGGAAAAATAAATTCAAAAGATTGTGACAAAAGCCAATCAATACATACCACACGCTTGTGTTGCGGGCCAATCTAGTCCGGCTTGTAGCCAATTTAATTAGACTCGCGTTGTTTCTAAAAAAATCTGTAAATGAAATAAATTTGTTGAAGTTTCGTTTTTTGACTTTTGAGTTGAGCAAATTACAAAAGAGTTTGTGACAAGACGAAAAATGTAAATACCCTGCAAACCATTTTTTCAGAGTATTCTGAATCGTAAAGAATTTTTAAAGAATTCGGAAAGATCACATCCGTTTTTTTGTCGAGGGCTGCAGGGCTGCAAACCAAAGTTCCCGAAATCTTAACGAAATCTTTAGGAGTATCTGATTTCTGTAACGATTTTTTTCCGAATCTTCAAAGAAAATTATATGAAGTGGTTGACACGAACTCGTAAAGAAATTTCTGTACGAAAAATAAAGAAAATTCTGAAAAAAGTCTGCAAGAAATTCTTTACATAGCAGCATTATTTTCATTTCTTTACCGATTTTCTTCCGAAATTTCGGAAAAGAATGGAAGTGTGCGTAATTTATTTCATTTTAGAAAATTCGGCAAAAAATCGGATGGGATCTTTCCGAATTCTTTAAAATTTCTTTACGATTCAGAATACTCTGATAAAATGGTTTGCAGGGAGGGTATGCTTATTTGACATTTTGTTTGAATGTATTGGTTGATATTTTTTCACAGTTGTCGTTTTCGTTAACCCAATTGAAATCCAATTTAAATATTTTCTTATAGTGAAAAATATTTTCAAGTTACATAAAATAAAATAACGAGAAAAACCAAATTCCAAGCAAATCAAGCATGAAGCGTAAGCGATTATGACCGGATGCAGTTCCTACATAAGTCAAACCGTGTTCCGAACACAACTTTGAGTGAATAATGGTGGGCTGACTTTGTAAAATGGTCCCATAGATTAGGCGGTAAAACAAGCATCACTTAGCTTATTTTGGAATGTACAAAATTTGTATGTATTTCTTCAGCCGCTTATTCACATCTGAAAGAGGATAATGCATGAATTGATGCAAGTAAAGACGGTTTATGCAGATAAGCAAGCGCGTTTGTTAACCGTATAAAATCTATGTACATATATACACATATGCATACATATATATCAAAATATTCACAATGACGAGATGAATTGGTCTAGGCCTCTCTGTTTGTAATCACGCTAACTTGAACAAAATTTCGATATTTTAACTAAAGTCGGTGTCGAAGTTGCCTTTGGTATAATTTAGGTTAGTGTTAAATTTTGGCGAAATCTGCCAATAACCACGAACACCTCCATCGTAGTAATTAAAATATTTTTGTTTTATTATTTTTTTACGAATTTTGCTGTTCAAATTTACATTCCAAATATATCAACAAACATTTGTGGGTACTCTTACATCAGTCGTTGCCTATGGGTTAATGACAAAAAAATCCTATACATTCACAATATTTCATGTATTAATTTTCAAATAAGCATATTGTCAATGGCTGGTTTACTGTATACTGTGCTCTGATCGTTGTATGTAATCCCAGCAAGACAATTGTATCTAACGAACCTATTTAAGCAATTTCCATGTCCATGTCCTTGTGGTTCAGGGACCAAAAACCATTCCGACCAGCAGTAAGAGCGAAGCGAGATAGAAGGGCCGCACAGTGGTTCCAAACCAACGAAAAGCGAAACAAATTCAATATCTCGCAAACGGTTAGCACAAAAAAGCTGAAAATTGGTAGAATGAAACTTCAAGGACCATGTGATAGGAACTTAGAAAAAAAGGCCAATAAAATGGCTGCCCAAGATTTCCAAAAAGGGCTATATGCATTTTTGTTCAAAATTTTGTATTCAACATCTTGATTTTCTTTAATCGGACAATGGATTTGTATTTAACGTCGTCTAAAACACATGAAACCGATTCTTGTCAAATAGTTTGGACATGGTGCTTGGTTATCTTTACATAGATTGCACGAAGTTTTTGAGGGGATAAGGACTTTTAAAGTCCTGAAGCACTCAAAAAGGTAGTTTTAAGCAGCTGACTAGACTTTTATCAAGTTGTAAAAGTGTATACAATACTGAAATATTGTTCTCCGTTTGAAGAGATTTGAGCATTTTTTTAGGCAAAAGGTCGGCGCGCCTTTATAAGGAAGCCATTTCCTCTCTCGGGGAGCTGTAACCCTGACTTAGTGGCAGTGCATAGGGGTGAAATCCCTTGCAAACCACGAGCCAGAGCTTGGGTTCTAGAAGAACCCCCGAGTCCTTAGGGGATTTTGAAAATCATCTAGATCTCCAACGACGCGCAACCAGTCCTTGGTTGCAAAGTAGTAGAAATCAGCGAGGTTAGGTAGCAGCAGCATTACATTACCTTGGTAATAAACGAGGAATCTCTCCCAACTCATGCAGATCGCAAAAGAATCATTAGGCTACGGCTTTTATTCCATTTCCCTCAAAACCGAAAAAGAGAATGAGGTTAAAATGACAGAACCGGGAAGCACCATGAGTGAACCCGGGCTCATAATCTTCCGCCTCAAGGCGGCTGAGCGTTCCCACCCCTGTCCATGTCTAGGAGGTCCGAGAAACTCGCGAGGTCGCTTGGCCGGTGGTTGAACCAGACTCGGTAGAGGAAATAGAGAGTGACACGGGGACGGTCAATTAAGCGAAAATCATAAGTCGCGGCAATGAGTTGGACACAAATTCCTTATGTCTTATTAATTAAAAAATTCGAAAAAGATATATTCCATTGTTATTCCATTATTAGACTAGGCTTAAAAGTTGCAGAATAAGCGAAAATTTTTTAGTAAAAGTTTTCAAGAAAATTTGGTTTTTTTTTGAAATCCACATTTTATATTCAATAATTTTATTGAGCTTGAAGCCGTGTTTAATGAAAATTAACTAGCTCAGTGAGTAGACTCTCAGTGAAGAAGTCTGATGAAGAGATGTGGTGGTCTACGAAATAGCAGCTATAACTTCTACAAAATGTAAATTGTTGTTTCTTCCACTAACATTTTCATTAAAAATGGCCCCAAGCTCAATAAAATTTTTGAATATAATTGCTATAGGGCCATAAATAACAAAAACAATATAAATTTTATAGTGAAAATTTGTAAATTTTATACAAATTTTGTAGAGATACGATTAAGAAATTTGTTCGATTTTGTATACAAAAAGAGTTTTAAAACTTATAAATTTTGAAAATAAAATGGTATCAATCGGCTTATTTTTTGCAAAGTTATGGCTATCTCTCAATTGGGACTATAACATAAACAATTATATATAAAAAGAAATTCTTTGATCTTCAATTTTTTTTTAAAGTGGTCGTTCTGATTTTTTTCCAAATGATATTCGAATTTGAAATTGGGAATTGGAATGACCCATATGCATATAATTATTTCATTTCCGTAATTATGATATTTTAGTAAATTTCATTCGATATCAATTTTATAAAATTTAGCTCATACATTTGTATCCATGTGTGAACATGAACAGTACCAGAAAAAATGTTCGCGTACATCCCATAGTCTACACCAGTGCTCGTCAAACTTTTGAGTGTGACGGACCGGCTGCAGTTTTTCTATTACGTCGGGGACCGGTACCTTTTTTTATTGATTATTTTTCGTTTACGATCATCTCATATATGTATTAAAATTTGTTTAAATGAATTTCTTTATTAGCCGGGTGTCTATATATGACCTATTACCATTTAATGATAGCAGATATTAGCGATTTTTTATGAATGTATAACAAATTTAAGTTGTTTTTATTATACAAGTTGTATATAGCCTCATTAAACAGTAATATAAAACATCACAAATGTAATAACTGTAAAGTTATAATAAGGTGCGTTCGTTTAAAATCTCCAACAGAAACCAACCAACTGCCAAATTCCGGCGAAATGTCATCTGTTCGCTCACAAGAGAGAAATATCCAAAATAGTACGCGAACAGAAAATTTGCAGAAACTTGCAAGTTAGACGAACAGCTGATATAATTTTTGTTTACATTCAAAAGTGTAAAATTTAAAACGTTCGAAAACTCATTACAAAGTGGTATCCTGGCACAGTTTATTGATTAAACAAATAACTACTTACTTCTTACAAGTTTAATTAGTCGCATTTTGTAATTTTTAACTTCCAAACCATCAAATTCAATTTTGTGATTTGCGTAAATGCCAACCAGCGGTTTTTGATCAGCTGTTTTCCTGTTGGCAAATTGCTGTTGGCAAAAATTTTTCCAACAGAAACCAGCAGCTTCCCCTCAAAATGAAATGTCACTTTGCTCTCTCAATTTCCCCTACTTTGCAAGTTTTTTGCGTACGCGAACGCAAAAACTTGTAAGTTTTGGTTGAACATGAACAATTAACAGCTACGCGAACGAACCTATAATAAGACATATTATAAGCACGTCGAGTTTTATTAAAATTATATTAATGCTATTGGAAGGTGTCATTCCTTGTAAAGTTACGAAAGTCGATGTTTACTAATGCGAGAGGTGAGCCTGTTTATTATTTACAAGCTTATCAAGTCGTGGCTCAATTGTGGGCAGTGCGACACGCAATGGAGAACTAATATTTAAACTGTTCCTGTACTTTGTCTTAATAATACTCATGGTTGAAAACCCAGTCTCACAAAGGTAAGATGAAGGAAATGGGAGTAGAGCTTTCAGAGCAATTTCAGCAAGTTCCGGGTATTCTGCTTTGACATGAATCCAAAATGACGCAAGTGATCGTTTAAAAAATCGTTGTCCATTTCGCGACGCCCTTTGCGGACCGGCGACTTATGGCTTACGGACCGGCACCGGTCCGCGGACCACCACTTTGACGAGCACTGGTCTACACCATTTGGAAATTTTTGTTATTTTGGCGAAGGTATTTTATACTAATATTTTTGTTTTTCCAAATTGTCTTGGAAAAATACTTTTGTCTCATGGGTGTACGGCAAACTTTTTTTTTGTAAGATGGTTCGGTCGTATGTACATGTAAATATGTAAATATGCGATAACCAAGCATCATAAAAAAACCGAGTCTCTGTTTCTTTTCATCTTCGAGGCAATGCACTTTATGTCACAGGAGCGCTTAAAAATACTGTGATTTTACCTTATAAGTACAATCTCGCCTAAGGTGCGGTATGAATTTGAATGCCGCTTGCAGCTTTCAACGTTGCTGCTGTGGAAGTTGCAAAAGTTACA